CTGCCCAATGCTAGAATCCACTACTACAGTATATGAGTTAACAAAGCTGAGGACATTTTTCTTAATTAAATACAAATGCTTCTCATTCTCTGCCTGCTCCCACATATACTCACACCAAAGTGAGAGAGGCAAAATAAACTAGCCATTTAAATAGAGCTACCAACCTTTCCCTCTTAAGATTAATTGTTTGGGTCACTTAGAAGCCAGAAATGGAAATAGAAGCTGCCCTCCCATAGATATGAAGATGGAAGATGAAGATTATTTATTTAATACCATTTGTTTCTCACATGGGCCCCTAAGAGCTTGGATTCCCCCGTTTGTCACTGAGAGATAGGCTAGGCTAGTGATTCAAGCTTACCCAGTGAATTGCACAGCTGAACCAGAATGAGAATTAGACTCTTTCTGATTCAAGGACAACAATCTAAGCATTGCCCAATACTGGTTCACACACCTGACTATACATATAACGCAGCACCTCTCTGATAACTAATGCTCTGATTTTGTCTCATTATTTGAACTGCTATACTCACATTTTCATCCAAAGTATCAACAGTATTTGCAGTGTCTGCCAGGAGGTAGGAGGAGGGCAAAACAGGCAAGATGGCAGTTATAGCAAGACCATCTAAGCTCTGCCCCTTTTCTATATATGTCAGCATTGCATCCAAGTACAAAGGGACAGAGTTTTGATCTCACTGCCTGTTTTGACTCACCTGACTGCCTGTTTGGATGTCACTGAATACTGTGATATCTTTGGGGGGAGAATCTGCAGCTCACATTGTCCAGAATTGGGCCAAAGAGCGCTACAGGCTATGCAGCAGTGGATGAATATAAACTGCTTGAGCCCCATTCCACCCCACCCAAGGTCCTAATAGAAAATGTGCTTCAAGCTCCAGGGTTTATGAGTTATGTGACACAGTGCCTGCTTGAGGCAAAAAGTTGCAGAACCAGAGTCTCCCACAACTTCATGAATGGCTGATGTTTTTCCATTAAGTTGGAATTGTATCATTGAAAAAAAACCTTATGATATATGGGTAATCAGCAAAGGTCTACATGATCTTTGAGGTACTGATCATGACAATATATGTATTTCTGCAAAAATTAAATTATATTGAATTCCAGATGGACGTAAACAGCTTGCCACAGAAAAGCAGGAGCTGGGTGACAGGGTTTTGGGGAAGCATCTGGCTGATGCAAGGTCCTCCATATTTATAGGTCAGTTTACTTGCTGATCACCTGGATGTTACTGAATGTTTTATTTTATTTTAGTAGTATTTTTTCTAGTCATTGTAGTAGTATTTTTTGTTTCTTGTCATTGGCCATAATAAAGTATATAGGTATATGATATACTGCTGAATTTTGATGGGGTGTTGTGAGACTGACACCATAAAAAAGAGGTTTGGGAATTCCATGCAACCTGTCAATTACCTATTACATCCAGAAGTTTTTATAAAACAATTTTTAATTTAAAAAATAGTGCCACAGAGAAAGTAACCCAAAAGCAAAATATTAAAGTAGGAAGAACTCATCTGCTTTCCACATCCCTTGTTTCTAATATTATTATACTATAATTTGTAGAAGATTATGACCAAAAAAAGTTATGCTACTATCTAATTCAGAAAAATGAGAATAAAATTGATATGCCAGATTTAAATACAGCATATGAATTAAACAGTTGATGAAAAATGTGCAGTACATTAACATTATCTGATATATTGAATAGAGTGGAGAAAGTTTCTTCCAGTGCATGAGTCTCCCCCACCCATTATTTTAAAATTGTTCATCACTCCCTATTGGATTATTTTATTCTTGTTTCATGACAGAAACAGAAGTAGCCCATCCAACTGATCCAATTTGGACTTGCCCTCAACATCTTTTAATGCCCCTATCCATGCAAGTCCTTTGATGCTGGAAAAATAAAAAAACAAGGATTACTTGGATTTCTGGAATGATACTTATTGTTAGTAGGGTAATATAGCAAAATCTTGAAAGCCTGCCAAAGCAATTCTCCAGTTCAGCTTATACCTAGCGTAATTACTCTGAGTCTCTTTCTCATGTTCCCCCACTCCCCTGGACTAAGGAACCTTTTCGGTAATGGTCCTGTTCCCTCCTGTAACATTCCTGTTCCCCCTTCTGGGTTTCGGGATCTCTTAGACATTCCATCGCACTATGCCAGTGAAAGGGAGCTACAGCTTGCAGGCAATGATTTTCAGTTACACTATATCCCCCATATTATGCAACAGCCTCCCTCTGGAGATCAGGCTAGCAATTCCTACAGTATTATCATAGGTTTGTACTTTCATTGGTTTTTGGTTTTTTATGATGTTTAATGATGTTTTAATGATGAAGTCATTTTCTGAGTCCAGGAGTACATAAACTCAATCAATCAATCAATCCAATTACCTATTATTAATTTCCTTTAGTCCTGAGCTTACAACTGCACCTACTTCCTTACCTTCTGATTTACAGAAACAAGCTTGTGGCTATCTCTTGGCTGTGTTTAAGTAAGAAGATGCTTATTTTCTTTTTTCTATTTACTATGTGTCACTATACTGAAAGGGCAGAATCTAGCTTTATATGATAGTCCTGAAATGTGAGTTTCTTATTATATGTCATAGCAGGTGGCTGATCTCAGAAAAGCAAGCAGGATTGAACCTGGTTATACAGTACCTAGATGGGAAACCACAAAAAATCCCCGAGATGTAGGCTGGACTGGGAAATTTAAAAAAAGAAAAAGAAAAAGTTCTGGAAAATTTCCATGGCAAACCACATCATACAGTTGCCAAGCAAACAACATAAGTGTGGACACATAATGATCAGGAGGTGTTGTTAATTTAAATGAGACGTTTTCCCTTTATTTTATATTATAGCAAAATGTGTATAACAGACTAAATGGTATGATTTACTAAACAGCATACATTTATTTATCACTGCCTCTTCCATACATTTCATAATTCTACTGAAACTGCTCCATCAATGTATCCTCAACTGTATATTACTGAAAAAATGAACTCAAGAATGTACATTTCCCATGTATTTCCTACATGTTTCAAAGCTGTTACTATTATCACTGAGCACACACAGTAAGTCTAATATGGTAGGGTTTGCCTCAGAAAACATGTGCAGGACTGGACTGAATCCGAATGCTAAATGTTTTTGATTTTACAGCACCTTATCTCTCAGATGGCATAAAACATATGCACTATTTCTGCTATCAAGGAATTGTTTTTTCCTCCATCTCCTATGTCAGGAATGGGTAAATCTGTGGATTTGCAGATGATACTGAATTTTCATAATGTCTTACACTGAAAACTATCATACACAGAATTGTGTACTTCAGGCTATGAGAAATGATTGGGGTTAATATGGTCTTTTGTACTAATGGAAATCACTATCAACTGAAGGCACCGTGATCCAACAGACTCTCCACTAAGAATAAATGCAGGGAAGAGATCTTTGTTAATTCTTCTTTTCCTCTTTAACTACAAATGCAGTCCTTATTTTGTTCTGCATCTCTACAGCAGAATTCTCATGGGGAAAGGAATCGGCAAAAACTTGACATCCTATCCTTAATTCCAGAGCACAATTCTGAATCCAAACTCAACTGTTCAAAATATCTATAAAATCCCCAAATTTGCATCACTTCAGAATGCCTTGTTGTACATCGGAATGAATGTTACTTTGACAATCCGAATGGCTCCACAAATATTTCATTCATTTTATAGCCCAACCATAAAGCAAAATGATTTGAAATTGTTTTCTATCAATTTTAAACCAAAATTTTACCATCCTGTAGAAAATCAATTTTATTAATATACGAAATCAGTTTTGTCAGTTTACACTTTCTAGAGTGACTGATCATTGTCAATCACCTCAGGAACCTAATATCACAAAATGCAATGCCCATGATTCAGAAACATTACACGTGCAGGGTCATGAGCTGCTTAGAACATGAGTGTGAATATATAAAAATATCGTTATAAATTGCAAACTTTATATATAATCCTTCTAACGCTTGCAAAATGATTTTGATAAAAATGCATACATTATAAAATCAATTCATTATATGCCATCAAGTCATTGTTGACTTTTAGTGACCACATAGACAGATTTTCTCCATGACAATAATCTGACTTTAACTTGGTCTTTCAGGTCTCCCAGCAATGCGCTCATTGCCACTGTGACTGAGTCTACCCACCTTGCACATTATAAAAATTGCAAAAGTGATATTTTATCTTATGTATTAGGGGAAAGTGCTTGAAAAACATGTGTGTTAGAATAAATTGAATACAGAAATGTGGATAAATTATTTTTGTAAAGATATGAACATTTAATGGAACAAACTAGTTCATGCTATTAAAAATGAAACAGATGTATTCTCCCATGCCTATCTGGCATTATAGCTTTCCTGATTTGTTAATTAAGCTATTTCCTGAATAAAGTTTTTAAGCACAGATAAATAATGAACACTGAAAGGATTTTATATGACTCCGGTGATAGTGTAACACAGACACTGGTGCAATGTTTCACATATACAAAACAAACTCAGACAGAAAGATGATATATCTCTATCAAGAACCAGAGAACTGTAAGAATGATTTTTTTTTTAAAAATGCCCTACCGAAGCATAAATGCAGTACCAATATATATATGGCATTGGAGATAACTGGAAAATCTTCAAGAATTTTTCTTATATATTCCTTTAAAAATATTCCTCCTTTAAAAAATCAAATTAGCATATTTAACAACTTTAAAGAGCAGTACTATTTTTGTATTTTCACACTACAGAAGTTTTAACAGCGAGTTGTCTCACTGTGCTCCAATCTCTTTGTTGAAGTTCTTCCCTTGTGCAATTTTCTTTTCCAAGTTAGACACACCACACTTATGCAACTCAAAATCTACTAGATGAACTCAGCTTAAAGAGGGTTAAAAAGATATTTTACGTACCATGATACCAAATCTCTGTTGCTAATTTAGAAAAGAAAAACAGTAATACTGCCTACCTTCTATTGGTGAAGTCTTCAAGTGTCTACAGAGGCCCTCTGTGTCCCCATACGTATCTTTAATTTTTACCACTGCTTCCATTCCTCGGAGTTCCATAAGAGAACGCAGCTCCTGGAGTGTACACCCAAATTCTCCTGCATGGTTGGCCTCATTTCTTTGGTTCTTTGAATAAAAATCGCTGTTTGTCATGTCACCCATTGCTGCTGATAATATTGCTCTGTTCAATGTGCTATGTACAAATTAAAAATTTGTAAGAGTAGAACCTCAAATTCCAGCCTAAGAACAAATCCACTTTATGTGTACAGTAACATGAGCAGAGTAAGCAATGAATGACAGAAATGTCTCCCACCAGGTGATAGTCCACAAGATGGCTGTTTTCAAGATTGCAGACCAGTTCCACTCCATTCACTCCTTCCCATTATGCTGTACCCAGGCAGTTGGCATCTACATGGTCATTTCTTCTTTCAGACCTTAAGAAAAAAATCCAAAACATGCATTAAAAGAATAAGCCAGACATGCAGAAATTCATTTCATCACATCACTCTGAAATGAGGTTGAATAGTACAACTTTAACCCAGAAGAGTTTCTAACAGTCTTACAAAGATGTCTCCCCAGATTCTTGCTGTACTGGCTGTGTTGCCCACAGCACTCTTTCCAGCTTCAGAAGCTATTGTAACAGTCTTACTTTAATCAAGTCCCAAGAGCACCAGCTAAATGAGATGGCTCATGAATATTAATAAATAAGCCATTAGTCCAACAGCCTAGATGTGCCTCTGGTAGGAACTCTTGTTCAAACTGCTGTATCAATCTTTCATCTGACAAGAACAACAACAAAAAAAGTCCAAACAAACCCCACCATCTCTTAAAGACTATGACTAATAAAAATTAATTGAGCACTATTAACTTATGTTTTCATCCATTATAGAAACTATTTTTCATTGCAAGGAAAATAAAATTGGAAAAGGAACATTTTCATTTCCAACCTTGAATACATTTAAATATATTAAGCTTTGCAGCATTGACAGCCTATGGTGATAAACACAAACGCAAAGAGGGAGCTAAAAAGTACCTGAATGCTTTAAGCTGAATACCAAGTCCTTTTGATCATACAAATAGAAAAAGTTGCTCTCTTTCAGCACCACTTATTATCTGATAACCATAGCATGAAAAACTGAACATTTCTTGCAAACCCCAAACAGGCAAACATGCCTACCTGGTTTTAATGTACAATGTTCAGGAATATTCACAGGTAAATTACAAGATGCAGCAATTTAACAACACATAATGAAATTGTGTTTCCCAGATATACTTACTAATGTGCTCTGTCCACATCAGTGGCTGAATATAAAGTCTGAATAAATGTGTGCAAACCTCTAAGGTACTATTTTATCAACTATTTCATTTAATCCTGAGGTTTTTAAAAAGCAGTCTCCTTCAAGCTGATCTTGACTCCTAGAGATTATATGGATATGTCTATGCTATTTTCTTAGTGACAATACAGAAGTAGTTTACTGTTTCTTTCTTGAAGATTTTTTTAAATTTCCCAATTTAACCTAAAGCCCTAGAATCTCTGGATGTCTTCCATCCAAGTACTAACCAAGTCTGACCCTCTTCAACTTTCTGAGATCAGCAAAGATCACCATGAAGCTGAGCCTTATTGTGACATTTAATCAAAAACTGGAAATTATTACAGAAGCTGTTTCCTCTTCTGTTTGCACATCCTCATATTTCCTGCAATTCAGATATGTCACATGTTACATCTCTTAACAGTGTTGATGTGTGGCTTCCGGGTGAAGTGTCATGGCTGGTTAGACATCTCTGTGAGCAGCTCTGCAAGCTGGACAGCACAGAAGTGGAATTGCCAGCGAGGAGACAGTTCTGGCTGACAGAAATTTCTCCAGAGGAAGGAGAAATCAGGGGATCACCCACATGTGCTCCAGAAGAGCTGCTCTTCATGAGATCACAGGAATTTACTTCCTTGTGGTCAATAGCGGGTTGAGCAGCTTGGGAGTTGAGGGATTTACAACGTGCCCTAAATTGCTGTGCAGCCTTTATGGATGTTTGACCGACAAAAGCCTCATCACCTTCTTAATCACTTTATGATTTAATTGCTTTACAACCTAAGAGAGAGATTCTGAACAGTAGTGAGATCACAGTCTCTTGGTGAGTGCCTTCTTTTTGAAATTAAGAAGAGGGGGAAAAGTATTATTTTAAAGGATTTTAATTTAAAAGCAAAAAGCTTAACAAGATTATGATCTAAGAATGTTTCAAATGGAAAAGGGGGACAGTAATTTTATGAAATGGAAGATTTTTTTTTTTTATGATGAAAGTACCTTTGAAAATAAATTAGACTAATAGACCGGACCTTCATGGGAATGTGAATTATTTTTAAGGATAGCAGATAGTTGTTAGATTTTACAAAACAAAAAGATAAGTGTAATATGAGCCAGACTGTGTGACTGTGACTGTGACTGTGACTATGGAGAGCCAATTGGGACTAAGGTTTTAAAAATAGAGAGAAGCAAAACAGAGAGGGAGGGAGGGAGGGGAAGCAGCCTGACTTTTACTTTCACCATAGTAATTGACATACTTTCACTTTCTTATCATGGCAACAAGGAAAGCTGCCAAATTGGGACAAGGATATAGGGGTTTACTGGAACAACTCACAGATAATGGCATCTCACCAGAGTTATTGCAGAAATTGTTTGAAGAATTTGGTAAAAAGATGACTGCAATAATTAAAAAGGAAATGGAAGAAAGATTTGCAGATATGAAAAAAGATCTGAAAGAAGAAGTTAGGAAAATTGAAGAATCTATAGGGCAACTGGTTGCAGACTTAAAACAAATTACTGACAAAGTGGAAGACTTGAAAAGCAAGACAGAAGTTATAAATAGAGAGATGGAGAAGGATTTGGACAATTTGGCATTATTAGAACTGAGAGAAAAAGAATTTTGCTTAAGATTTAGACCAATTCCAGAAGAATGCACAGAGGATATTAGAGAAAAGTTTGTTAAGTCTTTGTCTGATTTCCTGGATTGGGAGGAAGATAATACTGATGCAGAGATTGATACAGTCTATAGGATCAACACACATTTTACAAAGTTGAGAAATGTTCCAAGGGATATCCTTGTGCACTTTGTCAGGAAGAAGACAAGAGACAAAGTTCTACAGGAGCATTTTAATATTAGATTGAGGACTGATAATACAGATGTAACTGTACTTAAGGAAATTCCAATTAGAATATTATGCAAGAGAAAAGAGTTTTTTTCCTGACAGACAAACTTAAACAGAAGAAAATTAGATGGTGCAAGTTGGAAGAGGTGATTTTTACTTTTAAACAACAGAGATTTAGACTGAACTCTGTACAAAAAGGAAGAGATTTTTTGAAAAAAAATTAAAGAAGAACTGGAGGAGACACAAAGGGTAGTGACAATGACAGATGAAGCTAAACAAGTGCCACAACAGATACAAGACACTGAGGAGGATTCCACATTGGGCACTACAGGTATTGACTTTTCCAAAATCTTGGATTAATTATGGATTATAAATGCTTAATGTGGAATATAAATGGGGCAAATGCCCCTCAAAAGAAAAAAAATCATTATTTGAAAAAGTTAAAACAATGTATGATTTGTCTACAAGAAAGATCCGATTGGCACGATCCATGAGGGTTTTGATAATGCCTCTTTTCTGACGTGGGTGGTA